AGAATACAGAAATTTGGATTTCTGACATTTCTAGGCATCTAAGTTTTCTCAAAGTCTGACTGACATAGATTGGAATACATTTTCTGTCCTCATTTAAAACCCATACTTCTTTCCTTTGTCCAGAATTTCCTCTAAAACACTTCACCAAGAAAAAACAATAATGCAATAGGAATAAACAATGACTCAAAGGACACAAAGTGGACCCAAATGGTGTCTGGCTGGTCTGACAGAACAGACTTAGGTGCAACATTTTAAATTAATATAATAAAGCAGCCTTCGACATAGTCAGCATTGATTGTGTATCTATTGAGAGCAGAACTCTTCTGTAAAAGTACTCTCAGTTGAGTTTACTTAATTGGCACGATAGTTAAGCACACAGACTTTATAGTCAAATTTAATTTTGCATTCTGAATGTGTGACCTTGGACCTAGACAACTTCATACTTTCTCTGAAATTTCTTTTTCTTTTTCTTTTTTAAAATATTTTTTGAGTTTTTGGTGGAAGTTTCCACAGCAAATTAGGTTTCCATTTGACAATTTCCACACAAATTGTTCAGTGACATTAGTTACATTTAATACAGTGTATCACCATGCTCTTTGTGTTGTTCGTTCCCTTTCTAGTACTCTAGTTTCTCTGTCCCCTTATCATCTTATCTTTGGTTTTAAGAAATTATTGACCTTTTGGTCCCACACTAATGGGTTTTAAGAAAGGCATTGATCTTACAGGTAGCATCCTTTATTCTACGTGCCATACTGTTATTTCACTAAAAGGTGGTCTTAAGGGATAGGTTCCATTCTAGGTTTAAAGACTATCTCAAGGCCCTGAAAGCCTCAGGAGGTCTTCTGTTCTCTACTGTTCCAGTTTGGCTTTTTTTTTTTTTTCCCCCAATAAGAATATGAGTTCTCCATATTTGTCTCCTATTCTATGCAAGACCAACTATTGTAGCCCTGGTCAAAATGGACTAACTTTAATTTCTAATCTATTTATATAGGGAATATAACTGTAGTACCTCAGGTTGTATTTCAGATTATTAGATAATACACTTGGCATAGTGCCTGGTCCTCTCATAGAAGTGATAGCTTACCATTATCTTAACATTTTATGAGACTGATCTTCTTCCATTTATCCAAAATACAAAACGCAAATTTGCTTCACAATTTTAGGACTAGCACAACTTCTGGTACATAATATATGCTGCTCAGTAAATATTTGCTGAATGAATTAGCCAGCCCTTTTGTTGTGTTGTACATCAGCCCAATGATCAACATTAGATAAAAACACATTCAAACAAGTGACATACATTCTCTGCAGTAATCTTCCTTTTTTCTTTATAGCATCCTACATTACAATGTCTTTTTCCTCCATCTGTTTCTTACCCCCTAGCTACTCAGTTTCCCTCTCCACCTATTTACTTTGTCCCATAGGCGCATAAACCTCTCACTCCCACCTGTTCATCTGGCCATCAGCCAAAATGAGTCTTCCTGCTCCTCATAATTGCTTGTCTTGACTGACAGCCTGGCAAACTAGGACTATGGCTCACGATGACAGTAAAAACACACATCAGACTGTTTAGGAAGGCTGAGAAACAGAAAGAATTGTGATGGCAATGATTTACTTATCCTTCAGCAAGATTTTGTTTTCCATTTGTCCTCCTTCATTTGGAAAGACTCTAACTGTAGGAGGACTACTGGTAGAAGAATGAATTAGTGTGTTTAAAAGTACAGATTTCTCACTACTGTAAAATGTTCCAAGAAGTTCTAAGGCAGAAAGCTATGCCACTCAAAATCCAGGCACAGAAGTTTGCAGGAAGCAAAGTACGTTTAACACAGGACTAATTCTATCATAGCCACAGAGCTCTGTCAACACGCCAAGAGAAGAAAAACGGGATAAAATTAATTCAGCTTGAGTCCCTTTGTTTCAAGCATCTATTTTCCATTTCTGTGTACTGTAACTGGCAGTGTCAGCACTAGAGACAGCCCAGAGAGGAAATACTCTCCACACCCAGCTACCCGCAGGTCATCCAGTAAGTAACCCGATCCTGCACACAAGCAGGGCAGAGACAGGAGAAAGGAAAATTCTGTTTCCCTTAAAAAGAGATCTTTCTAATTCATTAACATCGCATACAATGCTCACCATTTCATTTCTACAAAGATAACCTTACTTCTAGGCTCTAAAGCGAACCCTTTCTTCAGGGTCAAATGGCTGTAGCACTTCTACCAATGGGTGGAATATATATTTCAAATATAAAATAGCACTGCTGCAAATTGCAGAACACTTTGAGAAAGAAATTAATCCTGCCCAGCTGATCTCTGCTCATTTCATTCTCCAGTATATGGAGGAGGAGGAAAAAGTTCTTAAAGGTGACCCTTCACATGTACGCAAACATAGAATGTGAGAGTTTGCAAAGTTAAAAATGTTTTTAGGAGTGCATACTAGAACGGTGAAGGCTAACAATCAATTCATAATTCATTTAAAAACATTTGTAAAGTTTACTTGATAGTTTTGTTTCTGTTCTTCCATTGGTAAATTTACCAGGGTACTAAACTAAAGTTTAAAAGATGATACTATAGGAAGCAGACGAGGCTACAAGACAGGAGCACACAAAGCCAGTTGGGTTGATCTGGTAATTTGCTACCCATCCAATTGCTAGTTAGTGGAGAATCTATGGTACTTTGAAGATTTCAAATATTTTTTTACCTAGATTGTGCTGAATTTCAGATCTTGCCTCTAGATGGAAAAGACGAAGAAGAAAAAATAAAAACCTCAAAGATTTCCAGACGTTGGGTGTTTTAAAGGGCCTCCACATAGTAAATCAAGGCACTGCTGTCTTGTTTTCTCTGCAGCCAGACAGAAATAATACTGCACCAGCAGAGGTGTGAATTACCCCCATTCATCTTAATGGAGTGTTAACTTCAAAGGTTTGTTTTAACCATTTGAATGCTTAGCTCCCGAGTAAACACTGCTTTTAAAAAAAGAAAAAAAAGTACTTTTTAAATATTTCCCCTCAATATACAAATGTAATTTATATTCTTAGCACTCCAAGTGTTTTAATTTAGCAAACAAGTCTCCAAATGTTAAAAAAAAGTATATATATATTTCGTGGATTACTTAGTTTTATTTTAAATAGTTATTACCCAATAAATTATGAACATTAACCCACAGTGAGAAGGCCTGGACTTCCCAGGAAAATGCTGAGGAACAGTTGGATATGGGTCTGTGGTCATCCCGGAAAGGGGGCACTGTTCCTACCACCCATCTTATTAGCTTCCTCCTAACTCCAAACAGGCAACTACGTAAGGCAGAATGTTGAAGTAAAATAAAAATAAATGCCTCCGTAAACAATTTCCTTCAATTTTAATAAGTTTTGTGCAGTGTTCAACAGGTTACTTGTCCCTTTGTCAAACCTCCCATGATCCTATCCTATGAGCAGGTGACAAATGTATTAATTGATACCCAGCTGTCATCACACTTAACATTTGCCCCAGGGGGCACCCTTGCATCTGTTGCAGATTTAGGGTTATTTTAGTGTTACTGAAGGTAGATTTATTTAAGCAGCTGAACTCCTATTTGTATTTGGATCCATAACTCCATAAACAGAAAAAGTAGGTACAAGTAATAGTTTATCAGATTGATGGGCTCTGGCTGACCTGAAGCCACACTGGAGGCCATGCCTGATGTGCCTCTGGGGCCATGCTAAGTGCCTGGTTTAAAGAGAATATTAGTAGTTGAATACAGCTGGGGTAAAACTGTGGGAAAGCACTCAAAACTGTGCACTTGGGGCCTTGTGTGTGAAAGCCAGAGAAAGATCCTGAAGATACTAGTTTGTGCAAGATGGAAAAAGAAGAAATTCAAGATGTGTTCCCATGTCCTTGATTAAAAGCAAATTCTTTTGACTGGTCCAGATGAAGAAATCATAGAAAGGGGATAAACATCTAATCTATTAAGAGAGCCTTTTTCACTCTGCACTTAATTTATATAAGCCCATCTAATCCTTAGAATAAATCTTACATAATACGTTATTAACTCAATTTTATAGATACGAAAATTAAGGCTCAGACAGGTGAAATAGTATGCCTAAATTCACTGACATCTAAACTCAAGTCTTTCTCATCCAAAAGTTTGGGCTATTTCCATCACACCATGACACTGTCAAGTCTCCGAAGAAGTATCTTAATCCAAAAGAACAGCTCACTTATCAATTTTTCAGGCCCAGTTTCCTCAGTGGGAAGCAAAGAGCACCTGCATCCATTTCCATATGTGCAAATGATCACTTTGTATGCAATTCACTACTTTACATCCACACCTGGGTATGATTACATTTTTACCGATACATCCAGCTTTGGTAGACTGCTAATGAGAGCCCTCTACATAGAATACTTGCAGGCAGGAGATCTCGCTTCTGGTAATAAGCCATGTCAGGGGGAAGACTGAAATGATTTACAACTCCCAAACAAAGCGTGATAGAATTATCAATATTTGTCTCCGCTTGCCAAGAATAAATCCCGTGTTAGTGACAAACGGAGAACACTCAGAGAAATTTCCAATACACAGTCATTGTCACAGCTTTAATGCATAATGAGCAACAGAAAGTTTCTCAGCCAGGATCTGGAGGCAGGACAAAATAGCAAGTGGCATAATCCCACATACTGTTACCAGAGACTAATGTTGACAAAATCAACCCACAGCTAGGATGCAATTTTCTGTATCAATGTAATACACTGATTTCCCATAAAAACAAAAAACAAACAAACAGTATTACAACAACAAAAAATAAAACCCCAAATAAACAAGCAAACAAAAGATTGACCCAATACATTTAAGAACAGTGTGAGGTTGTTTCATATGTGAAGAATGTTGAAATGGCAAATGTTCTGTTACATATAATTTATCACAAACAAAACGAAAAGAAAAACCACTGTATCCCCACTTTCCCCTACTTCCTACTGTTTTGTTCTGTTTTTCTGTTGGTTTTTATAAAAATGTTAGCCCATATAAGGAGGATTTATCCCAAGCACCTTCCAGATCATTCCTCTTGCATATGATGGTAAATTATTCTTCATAAAAAGTGGGGAAATATTCCTTTCATTTATTAATCCAATCAAATATGATGAGTGCTAAACTAAAACTCCCAACCAAAATACCAAAGACGAGCAAAGCACAGGCCTGTGGAAATAACGGGGGAGAAAACCAAACCAATTAAGAGTATTCTTTAAAACTCCACCCAGCCCAATAGTGTACTTTATGTTTCACAATAGACATCTTTCTTGATGTAGATAAAATATTTAATATAAAGTGATAAATTATTTCTTAAAATAAGATTCCTAAAAGGCAAAAAAAAAAAATCCAACCTACCCCAAGCTTTTTCCATGAGAGAAAATCCTCTCTGCTAAGTTTAAGATAAAACAGTCCAGGGAATATAGAAACCAAACATGTTGATGTGCTGGCACCTTTAAGTGGGCGGGGAAAAACGAAACAAAACAAAAGAGGATTCAAATGTGAGGGCAGGTGACTAATTTCATCCATCTTATCTTTATTTATTATATGGATTTTTTTTTTTTTTTGAAACAGAAAACTTACCAATTATGCCAAATACATTTTTAATGTCAGGAACATATATTGCAAGTAAAACAATGACAGCATTGAGTGCTAAAGTGACCAAAGAGTGGTGAATCCAGGAGAATGGAAAATTGGAGAAAAATATCATCATTAAAGCTTTCCTTGCCTGTATAATAGAAAAGGAAACTAATTTAACCAGCGAGGAAGCATCAAAACCAAAATATTTGCTTAGAGCAACATAAATGATACAACAGTAGCCATGATATTCTTGCCCCTAAACTATTTAGATTCTAGAAAGTATGAGCTAGTATCAAAATTAAGAAACACACTTCTCTGTGAGAGTATCATAAAAATTAGTTTGTTTTAATTCTAGATATATTTGTCACATATTTTCTTTAGGTTGCAAAAATGTTTAAATTACTAACAAGAACACTGTCAAATGAAATCTCAATCATTTAGATTAAAGTATACAGATAGAAGAACAAAACGTTCAAAACAGAACAAGAAAGTACGCCATGGGGAAGAAACATCATTTACTATTTTGTTTAATAGCATGTGTTTCACAGCATGTAAACATTCAAAGTAGCTCATACACTTCTCATTCCTTAGCTGGGCAGTGGGCGTTCACATCCCAAAAAACGTTTCTCTAGCTCCTGCTGCACACCTGACGCAATCCACACAGCGAGGAACAAAGAACTTTGAAGACCCAGTTCTTAAAGAACTGACTGTTCTGGTAGATTCAAAATATGATGGATTCAAAACATCCATCCAGAAGAACTGACACCTAAAGCCATTGTTTCTATTCTCCCAGAAATTCTTAAGATTCTTATGTATAGTAACTTCAGTGCAGGATGAAAATCTGTTTTGCCCCTTAAATTATATTCCTGAGCAATATAATATTTTGACTAAGATTAAACTAGAATGTATATGTGAAAATAAATTTACAATAAACCAGAAGGAGCTCATTTTTGCTAACTTGAGTTTTTCCTCTTCATGCACATTCTTTTGAAAATAGAATACAGAATTTTGGGGGGGGGCAAACCCCAAGCTTCAGAAGTCCTATGGTCTCTAAATTGGAAACAATGCTGTGGGAGAGCATAAATCTAAGCTAAATCTCAAAAAGCACAAATTAGCTTTGTGGCTCACTGTTATTTCTGTGCTTTCATGGGCCATACACAAGTATGAGGTCTTTGATCAATTACTTGACAAATGAATAAGATATACAGGACTAGATGTTACTCAAACGTGCTAGTCTGCAAAGAATTAGTGTTGCCATATTAGGGAACCGCTACACTAAGCAACAAAACCTTTAAGGGTACTTACAGGGAAGTGGATTAGAGGGACTGTCAAAAGCACAGCAAATAGTAAGCATAACTTCACAGTCATGACAACAACATCATGTGGCAAGTATTTACTATAACCTTGTAGTAATTCTGACTCCACTTTATCTGTAAACAAATAAAAATAGTAAGGATCACATAATATAACTACTAAGATATCAATAATAGCAAAATTATTTTCCTTTGTACAAATGACTTTCATATGGTGGATCCCAGTACCAAATCCATCTCTAGTCTTTTTCCTATCCTATGAAACACAGAGATATTAAAGGTCTTTTAAGATCTACGATCTTTTTTTCTCCCCCAAAGGAAATTAGAAACTACACAGGCAGAATCTCTAAAATTAGGATAATGAATACACGCATCATACACGTATCTCTTTAAAACTTTTCCATGATCTGAAGGTTTTAACAACACTCATGCTTTATACGAAGTGTTTTGATGTGTATTGTCGAATTCTGTCCCTATAATAACAATATGAGATACATAGATAGGCTCAGAAGTATTAAATGATTTGCCCAAGATCACACAACACCAAGTGGCAGAGCTGTAAACCTAAGTTTTGTGTGTATGTCCAAGTCTACACATTTTCCTCAAAACTGCAATGTTTTCTAGACTCTCATAGAGTTCTGTGGATGTTACATGCTTCACAAGCATTTCATCCATGGAGTCATCATTCATAAAAAAGTGAATGCTGTCTTAGGGGAATGGCTTATTTAGCAAGCCAGCATGGTAGTAGTGACAGGATTTGTACATGCTGACCACGCTGTCCTGACACCTCAGGTGGTGGTCCATTCTCACAATGTCTCCTCCAACTCAGATGAGAGGTATGAAGTGACGGTGGTCAAGAACAGTGCATTTCAGTGCCATGTGGGGAAAGACTGTGGTTGTTGAGTCAGCCCCCAACTCACGGTGATCCCATTGTGATGAAACGCTCCCTGGTTCTGAGCCATCCCCATGATTGGCTGGGTATCAGAACATTGTGATCCAGTTTTCATTGGTTGAAAGCAACTGAGAAGCAGATTGCTAGGCCTTTCTCCCTCGTCTTAGTCTGGAAGCTCCACTGAAGCTTGTTCGGCACAGCAGCAACACACACGCCTCCAAGGCCAGACGGTCAGGGGCTGTGCGTGACGTACCCTGGCCAGGAATTGAACCGGGCTCCATGGAAGGAGAGAATTCTACCACCGAACCACCACTGCCCCCATTAGTTTGTGTTTTAAAACAGAATTATGCTTTTCTTATCTGAGAGTGTGTTTTAGAATGGATGCTTTGGGAGAAATAAAAAAACAAACATACTTGTTTTTAAGGATCTTAAAATTTCTAGGACACACATTTAATAGAAAATGTATACACACATATACACACAGAAATGGTAGAAGAAAGGTCTAAACAAAGAACTGTGGGGTTTCTGAAGACTTACAGCTTTGGTTGGGGAGGAGAAGAAACAATAGGAAATCCAGGAAGGTGTGTGCACAGCTGCACGATATAATGAGCAACAGGATGGTCCGAAAACCAGACCTGTTGCCATCAAATCGGTACTAGCTCCCAGCAACCCTGTAAGACAGAGTAGAACTGCACCATATGGTTTTCGGGCTGTAATCTTTACGGAAGCACATCTTTCTCTCACAGGGCAGGTGGTCAGTTCAAACCACCAACCTTTCAGTTAGCAGCCAAGTGCTGATGGTTGTTGTTGTTGTTATGTGCCGTCGAGTTGGACCCAACTCACAGCGACCCTTCCTGGGGTTTCCGAAGCAGTATCACTATGGAAATAGATTGCCTCATCTTCCTTCCAAGGAGTGGCTGGTGGGTTTGAACCGCCAGCCTTCTGGTTAGCAGTCAAGTGCCTTAGGCACTACGCTACCAGAGCTCCCAAGTGCTGATGGTAGAGGGGCTCAAATTCTGGCACCACACTGAGCAATTATTCAAATCCCAGCACTTCTTAGGAACTTAACCTCTCTGAACCTCTCAGCTCCTACATCTGTAAAATATACTGCCTACAGAGTTATTGCCATCAAGTCGTACCTGACTCACAACAACCTCTCCTTGGGTTTCCGAGGCAGTATCACTACGGAAGTAGATTGCCCAACCTTCCTTCGGAGGAGTGGCTGGTGGGTCTGAACTGCCAGCCTTCTGGTTAGCAGTCAAGTGCCTCAGGCAGTTACTGAAAGCATTAAATGAGTTACAATACATGTGCTGACATTCAGTGACGTGGGGGAAGAGAGTCTCTAGGAGGAAGACCCAAAATAAGCAAAAGCCCTGAAGTGGCGAAGGGACTGTTCATCTGAGAAGATGAGTAGTCCAATAGTACTGTTGTTGTTGTTGTTATGTGCTGTCAAGTCGGACCTGACTCATAGCGACCCCTCCTTGGGTTTCCATAAAGATTTACAGCCCTGGAAACCCTATGAGGAAGTCCTACTCTGTCCTAAAAGATCTCTGAGTCGGAATTTACTCAGTGGAAGTGTTTTTTTTTTTTTTTTCCTGGGGGCAGGGAGGAGGGGTGGGGGAGGTACAGCAAAGGGAATAGTGTGTGAGAAGTGAGAAGACTAGAAATGTAGAGTAGCACTCAAGGCCCTGAATAGAGTTCTTTGTACGGTTTGGAATCATTCTGGTAGGCCATCAAGATGCAGTAACTACTTGCAAAGAACAGCATATTATGATCCAAACTAAGCAAAAGTATAGACTGGCCCAAAACAGGGATCATAGAAGTAATGAGAATAATAATAAGTGAGAAGTAATGAGAATGTCAACTAGACTAGTAATAGCAGAAATGGGAGAGAAACTAATTGTGTAAAGTATCAAATACTTACTTTATACAAGGTGGGACTAATAGACTAAATAGGAGACTAAGAAGAGCCAGGAAATCTGGATTCTATTTCCAAATCTGTGAGATACTTGTAGGTCTTTGAAAAAACATGGCAAACTATTTTATTTCCATTTGCTGAATCATAAAAATGAGCTATTAACACTTGTTGCTTAATAACCTCCTAGCCTTTGAAAATGGTCTGGCTATTATGTAACACTTGGCTCGCCAAAGGAGCACTTTTCAGAGCACTCTTCTCTTCCTCGACATGTAATGCTGTAACATCTGTAATCAGAGCAAGTATTATTAATCTAGGTACATACTTACAGGTCCCTTGAATCTGACAAAATTTAGATATGAACTAGGCCTTGGGAGCTCTGGACAGAAGGGTTCCAAGCAGCTCCAGAAGCCTGAAGAGTTAGATTTGTTACAAATTCAAAAATCCGTCATGTCCACTTTCTACCCTCTTCGGATAAAAATCTTCTGAGCCACTCAAGCCCGTATTCTTAGCTCAGCCTTAACATGTATAAGGGATAGAGTAAAACACGCTTCTTTGATTCCAACAAATCTTTACAAATCTTAGTAAGAAACTGATTGTGAGCTCTGAAAGTCATAGATGCCACGAAGTCAGGATGCTGCCCAGTTTAACAGGCCTTGTCAAACAGGGCATGAAGCTCAGAAAGATTATCACAGAGTAGCAGAAAGAACACTGGATTTGCATTCAGGTAATGTGCCAAGAACTGTGCGACAGGTCACTGCACCTCTAGGAGTCTCAATTGTCCATCTATGAAATGGGTTGAATACCTTAATTCATAACCAATCTTTCTGATAAGATCTCAGGCTCAATTAGAATTTCTTTCCATAAGACTGAGAGTTACTGTTATATTGATATAAAGATACTATAAAAGGTTTTTCTTAGTTATGATTAACAAGTAAAAAAAAAAAAAAAAAAATCCACTGAGAACAGCAAATCCATACCTGAATCTTTTTCTGCTTTTGGAGAAGGAATAACTTTTACATCAGTCTGACTATGTATCTATCGAATCTTCCATCTAAATACCCGTCTACCTGCCTACCTACCGGGTGATTTTTCTTAGTTTCTACTTCTCCACTGTGTAACATCTGACGACTCTGAAGAGTCTGCACTGATGGAGAAGGAGCTGCGGCAGAGGCAGCAGAACAGGTTTACTTGGTATCCAGGCAAATCCCTGCCTAAGAAACCTTTTATTCACAGGCATGAAGAGCTTTAGCCTCTGTGAGATCTCTGAGGTCAAGCAACAATTACAGATAGATAGATACACAGAGATAGGTAGGTAGATGGATAGATACACACACAGGGCTGGAGCTTAAGTGAGCCAGGCTGTTCCAAAAGCTCACTTTAGCAGAAACTTGGAATAGAGAAACCTGGGTTTTTACTGCATAATTCCAGAGTAGGCAGCACAGTAATAAAGGTAATGACTTGGGGGACAAACAGAACTGGATTCAAATCCCAACTCCATCATGTGCTAGCTGTGTGTGTCTGGCCAAATGGCTCAACCTATGTGAACCTACATCTAACTTACAGAGTTATTCTGAGGATTAAGTTTGGTAACGCATGTAAAATACCTGGTACTTAATGAATATTAGCTCAGCTAATGTATTAGCATCTGTCCCTCTTCCAATTCCCTTTGAATTTCTTACAATTTAGTACAACTTCTAAGCATCTAAGGGTGATTCATGTAACTATTTCTCAGTTGTCCTGATGATGTCGTTGTTCTTGTTAGGTGCCGTCATGTCGGCTCTGACTCATAGTGACCCTATGTACAACAGAACGAAACACAGCCCAGTCCCATGCCAGCCTCACAATCCTTGCTATACCTGAGCCCACTGTTGTAGTAGCCACTGTGTCAATCCACCTTGATGAGGGCCTTCCTCTTTTTTGTTGACCCTCCACTTTACCAAGTATGATATCCTTCTCCAGGAAATGGTCCCTTTGGACAACATGACCAAAGTAGGTTAGACGAAGTCTGGCCATTCTTGCTTCCAAGGAGCATTCTGGCTGCACTCCTTCCAGGACAGATTTGTTAATTCTTTTGTCAGTCCATGGTACTTTCAATATTCTTTGCCAACATCACAACTCAAAGGCATCCACTCTTCTTTGGTCTTAGGTAGATCATTTGAGGTTTCTTCTGGATAGCTCTACTTATTTATTTGGGGGTAGGATGGGGAAAGAAGAATGAGGTCCATGTTTTTGGGCTTTTTCCTCTACATTGAAGATCTCTAAATATAATAGTATTTGTACCAAATGGCAATTTTAAGTTCTAAAAATATGCAGCTATTCTACAATATTCTTTGTAGAGGAGATCCTGCTACAGTTTTACTGAGCTCAAGTCTTCATAAAAACCAACAAACCCAACAACCAAAAAAACAGAGCTGATATTTTCATGAATTTTGAAACGTGGCTATCTGTTTTAGCTTTCTTTGTAGTATATCCAGCAGTGGACCATGCTCTCGCTGACAATAATGTTTTTCCTGATGTCATACATAGAGATCTATCACTGTCATCCTACCAGGACTGTTGACATGGATATACAAATGCAAGAGCAGACGGCAATGAATGGATGGCCTTTATTACCGATGAAATAATATAGAGATAGCAAGAAAAGGAATATATAGAATAATTATAGCTTTTCCACACAGACAACTCCAAGATAATACCCACAGCATACCCTGACAGCATCAGGATTTGAGGAAGACTCATGAACAACCTGCGATATACAGATGACACAACTTTGCTTGCTGAAAATGAGCATAATCTGAGGCACTTACTGATGAAGATTAAAGGCTACACTCTGCAGTATGGATTACACCTCAATATAGAGAAAACAAAAATCCTTGCAACTGGTCCAATAAACAGCTTCACGATGGATAGAGAAAAGATTGAACTTGTCAATGACTCCATATTACTTGGTTCTACAATCAACGTCAAGGGAAGCAGCAGTCAGGACATCAGATGACATATTGCATTTGGCAAATCTGCTGCAAAAGACCTCTTTCAAGTGATGAAGAGCAAAGATGTCTCCTTGAGGACTAGGGTATGCTTAACCCAAGCCATGGTATTTTCAATTGCCTCTTATGCCCGTGAGAGCTGGACAATGAATAAGGAAGATCGAAGAAGAGTTGATGCTTTTGAGTTGTGGTGTTGGAGAAGAATTATAAGAGTACCACGGACTGCTAAAAAGGCTAACAGATCTGTCCCAGAAGAAGTGCAGCTGGAATGCTCCTTGGAAGCGAGAATGGCCAGACTTCATCTCACCTGCTTTGCTCATGTTGTTAGGAGGAACCATTCCCTGGAGAAGGATATCATGCTTGGTAAAGTGGAGGGTCAACGAAGAAGGGGAAGGCCCTCAATGAGATGAATTGACACAGCAGCTGCAACGAGGGGCTCAGCTATGGCAAGGACTGCGAGGCTGGCACAGGACCGGGCAGTGTCTCGTTCTGCTGTGCACAGGGTTGCTATGAGTCAGAGATGACTCGACGGCACCTGACAACGATGACAACAACAACAACCCTGAAAAGTTATCGTATTTAAATTTAATTTTATTAAAGATAGTAAGAGAAATGCAGTACAGCATGTGGAATTACAAAATAATTACAATAATAATGGTAAGAGTAATAGTAACACACCACCAGCAGTAGCTCGCATTTGTGGAGAACAACTCAGAGGCTCCTTGAAAAAAGGCCTGGCCTTCTTCTTCCAAAAGCATCAGCCATTGAAATCTTAGTGAGTACAGTTCTATCTGATACTCATGGGGTCTAATCAACTCAACAGCAAGTAGATTTTGGTTTTGCTGTATGCCAAATACTATGGCAGATATTTTACATATATTTATATTTCCATATAACCCTATGCAGTCATCCTTATGTTACAGATTAGGAGATGAAGATACTGCAAGAAGTTGACAAACTCAGTGTAATTTGCATTATAATTTGCTTATTTGCAAATTAAACAAATATGTTTGCAAATTACATGAGAGTGGACAATTTTTTTTCTTGTTCTAGAGTTTTAAGTTTTACTTTTGCTTGAGGTTCTTATCAGAAGAAAAAAAATACTAAGCAGGCAATTTTTAAAAAATAAATAAAAGAGAATTTGAATTTCATTTTGTGAGTTTAAAAGAAGACTTTTTCAAATATTAGGGAGAAAAGTGGTGATGCATCCCAGAATACACACCTGCTGGATCCTGTGGGAATGAAGCCTGAGGCAGAGACCTCTCATGTGGAAGTGTAAACTACAGTCCAGAAGAGAAGCTTGTCTTTCTCAACTTGTTCTATTGTAACTAAGATCAATGACCCCCTTCATAACCTGATATTAAATATATCAAATTCTCAATTAAAACAGAATCATTACTGAACATTTTTTTTCTTATAGGAAGACATCGGTGTCCCTGAGCTTGAAGTTTTACTTAAGTGTTTAAGAAAATTTTCACATGAAGGTGCTAGTGTTGGACGTTGCTTTACCTTTACAAGAGAAAGTGAGTACCTTCTTTCGGCCTCCAGAGCTACTCCAATACAATGCACTGAACTCTGGCAGCCTAAACAAATTAATTTACTGATGAAAGGCAGTTCATACTCCAGTGTGAGAACATCTCCACAACACTTATCCAAAGTTTTGTCAAATATAATTAAAGAATAGGAGCTCTGGTAGCATAGTGGCTAAAACACTTGACTGCTAATCAGAAGGCTGGCGGTTCAAACCCACCAGCCACTCCTCGGAAGGAAGGTTGGGCAATCCTACTTCCGCAGTGATACTGCCTCAGAAACCCAAGGAGGGGTCGCTATGAGTCGGGGCCGACTCGACGGCACATAACAACAACAACAACAACAACAATTAAAGAATATACTTACCATAAAAAGTAAGGTACCCAAAGAGTGCAGATATAAAATAAATGAGAAAACTTAAAGCAATCGCTGTATTGGTTACATTCTGCATTCTTTTCTTTGAAGGGCTAAAAGACAAAATGGCAAAAATATAATCAGTGATCTGAACTATATCCAAAGAAACACGTATCTCCCAACCTAGTCAAGAAGATTTCTGAATCATCAAGACCCAGGTCATTAGTAACTATACACTAGAATACCTGGTTTGAAATTACGACACAAAGATTACATTTCCAGGGAGCAGTCTCAACTTGGACAAACCCAAGTCTTGATTTGTTTTTATTTTTAAACTATCATTTAGAATCCAGTAATGGAAAGAAAGAATTAATAAAGGAGAATGTCACTAAATCTGAAAGCCCTAGAGGTAAAAGGACATACTTAATATATTTAAAACATTCCAGGGTCCTACAGTACCTTTGAAGTTCACAGTATATGGGCAATATTGAAGTGTGGCAGAGAAATGAAAAAGCCATGGTTGGTATGGCGTATGCACTCTGGAAAAAAAAAGAAAAAGATGAAATTATTAAATGCTGCTCTGTTGAAAGCAGGACTTAATTTGTCAAAAAACTCAAATATTTTAAAAAATTGATTTGGTTATACTTATTTTTCATGAATTATGTCTATAAAATGATGATGATGATAATAATATTAATTATTATTATTGTTAAGAGATACAGTTATAGCCAAGAGCAAATGTTTTACTTGATTCTTGAATTGCCTATACTAGCCAGAATACTTCTTGGTCTCTCCTCATGCCATGGTGCTGTTACTAACAATACAAGAGATTTTGCATTACCAGATGAAGTCAAACACCAGATGAAGTTAAATGTCTATCCTTAGTCACTGTAAGTTGGAATCAACTTGATGGCAGTGGGCTTGATTCCCCACCCCCCCAAAAAAAATGCAATTTCAGTTTATCTACAGCACGGATTTTTCTATATTATTAGGGTAAGATAAAAAAATAATTTGAGTAGGATGAATGTTCTTACTATAATCCCCAGGCTTTCCTGATGTATGCAATTTAAATACATTTCGTGACCCAGAACAACAACAATAGTTAAAGTTCTCAAAGCTGTTTCTATCTATAGGGAATACTGAAGATATTCTAAAATATTCTCAATCTATAGGATCACATTTTGGTTTTTCCAGGATCTTTGACTAGGCTCTCTTTTAATGAGAATGAACATTATCTATTCTAGATCTACAAACTCTTAGCAATGCAGCATAAGTTATTATTTTTTTTTCTTAATTAGAATATTTAACTAAAGAGCGAGGGGAAGTTACAAAACAAATCAAAATTACCTTCTAAATAAAAATACCTTCTCTGTAAAATGGATAGTGACAATTTACTTTCTTTTTTGCTCTAAAAAAGCGCCTAAGGCACTTGACTGCTAACCAGAAGGCTGGCTGTTCAAACCCACCAGCCACTCCTCAGAAAGAAGATGGAGCAATCTACTTCCATAGCGATACTGCCTGGGAAACCGAAGGAGGGGTCGCTATGAGTCGGATCTGACTCAAGGGCACATAACAACAACAACAACAGCAAGAAATCTAGGCTATTTATTAAAAGAAGTTCCAGATGACTGAAGACCTATCTTGGGGCATAAAGCAGAGACTCCTAAAATATCTGAGGAGGGCTGGGAGGAAGGAAGCAGTGGTGTTTCTTCCTGAGACTGGATTAGAGAAATGAGAGTTTGATTCACAATTCTCTGTTTCATATATTGCTCAATTTCCTGGCATGTCAATTACCCTACCTAGATCTTTAAGGCACATGGAAGTCTTTATCATGTAAAAAGATGTGGTAACCTCCCTGTGGGGCTGGAGAGACATTAAAAACTGGGGATAAGAAAAAAACGGTTGTATAGAGGAATGACCACCCTAACATTCCATACTAATAGAGTAGTACATAGTGGAGAGAGTATCTGTGACCTGCAAAATAACATCTCAGCAGAATCTTGCAGGTATTTCCAGTTTGCGGATGGAGAAATAGGGTATCCTAGGTGCCTCAGGGACTTGGTCTTCTCTTCTCCACTCCAGGCATCATAAATTTCAATTCTGGAATTTCAGCCAGAAGACATATTGGCAGTACTCAATTCTCTGGTCCAATGATGAGGTTGTTTAGTTACAGACCAAGGTTCTGCTCACAAGGGAGGAGTTTTTGATATAATTGACTATTTAGCTTTACAAGACCAGAGGGCAAGAGGAAGTCTGAACCCACAGAGGACCTTATTGGCCAGACCAGACATTCAGTAAAATCTGTTCTCTTAAGCAGTGGCCCATTTAAAACAGGCTCCATTTAAAGACATGCCAAAAAAAGAAGCGGGGGAAAAAAAAAGGTGGCTGTTTCATAATGGGCCACCCTGTGTCAAATAATATTATTCTTCTGGTAGGCAGCCCTATACTTAACACTTTCATGGAAATTAATTAGTTACAGGTACAAAGACCTAAGAGACCCTGTTACACAAATCTTTTAAAACTTGAAATGTGAAAAATCAACCAAAAGTATCTGTTAATAACTTCCATACCTCTTTGGAGAAATGAAAGAGCTTTGGTTTACAATCATCTGTAGCATTTGAAATCTGTTTAAGTGGATTGAGGGGAAAAAAGGAAACCAACAGCGATTAAAAGTCAGAATACATAAACAAAAATGATTAATTTATTATTACTAGGCTTTCAAATAAAAGTATTTCAAAACAATGTTCCAAAATTCAATATAACCATTACTTTTTTTGCTAATTAGAAATAAATCATTGGTCTGATTTTTTTTTTTTCTTTTTAGCTTAAAATGAAAAGAAACTAAAAAGAAAATATAAGCTATTACCTGGAAATATTCCTCGACGTAATTTAATGTCAGAGGACAAGGAATGGACCATTTTTTAATTATTACCTATAAGAACAAATAAAGTTATCACTCAAATTATTCTTATAAAATTTATGAAAAGAGACTGATTTTAAATTGATCAGCTTTATTTTAAATAAATCTGACTCCATATCAAATACGATTCTAACAGAAGATTCCATGCTCATATGATTTTCCCATTTATATTTAGACAGAATTAGTTAGATTAGGAAGGAGCTCTGGTGGCACAGTGCCTAAGGCATTTGACTACTAACCAGAAGGTTGTGGGTTCAAACCCACCAACTGCTCCCCGGAAGGAAGATGGGGGAATCTACTTCTGTAAAGATTTACAGCCTCGGAAACCCAATGGGGGTCACCATGAGTTTCCATTTACTCAATGGCAGTAGGTTTGTTTTTTTTGGTTTAGTTAGATTAGGATCATCATTCAATAAACAAAGCATGATCACAGTTTAGGAGGAGGCACTGCACATCTGTCTAGTGGGGATGTCCCCGAGCAAAGACTGAGAGTACTCTCATGTCTACTTTTAAAACAATAATTGCAGCAAGGCATTTAAAAAAAAAAAAAAAACTCAAAATGGGAACATGATGTTTTCGGTGACAACAGTACAAAAGTATTATTTGTAGACATCAGTAGCATTAGGGAAATATTAATAGCATTTTTGGAAAAGGCTACAGGCAGAAATAAGTAAAGACTATATGCAAAGGGTGGAAGGAAGGTTGGCCAATCTACTTCTGTAGTGATACCGCCTTGGAAACCCAAGGAGGGGTCGCTATGAGTCGGATCTGACTCCATGGTATTGAGTTTGGCTTTGGTGACATGCAAAGGGCAAGCAAGGAGATTTCTAACTGCTGCCCCAACCCCCTCTCCCACCGTTAGTTCTTCAGATTTGTATTATTTTGGGTGACTATGGAGAAAGCTAGCTAAGAATAAGAGCACACAACTAGGGAATCCCAGCTGGTAAAAATAAATTGAAAAGTAAATAAAGAAAAACATTAAAAGAAATCCAGGGGGATGTTGTTTCCCAGAAATAATCACTGAAAATATTTTAGGATTTTACTCTTAACTGTTCTTGTTCCTAGACCTATAGTTGTGGCTGTGTCAACATTACCATTGTTGTCATTGCTTCAGGGCACTAATTACTCTGTAAATGTTTGCTCAGGGCTGAAACTCAGCATACAAAGGGACAAGGGAAAATGAAGTGTTTGTCCTTTGCAGGGAACCAATAAGTAAAGCACTATTATGATTCTTGTTTCATATTTATATAATTTTTGATTTGAACTAATTCCATCAAAATATTATATAGTGATAAAGCAAATCTAAGGAAAATATAGGCTTTTAGGATTAGATTAATGAGTGAAGAATGACTCTTAAATTAAAAATCTCACCAATGGGGGAAGTGGGAGGTGAGGAGAGTTATAAGGATAAACTGGGCAAGTTTGCTCTGACATTTCTAGGTATATTTTTAATATTAAATAAATTTAAATGATCAACTTACCAAGAGGAAAGGAAAAAAATCAAAGCGATAATCTCACCATCTTTTTTCTGAATAAGGATAGGACGGAGAAGCCAGAAAAGCAGCGTTCTTACTGGTGTCTGTCTTCAGCCTTGCTCCATATTTAGTTCCTCATTTTTTTCCCTTACTAGCTAAGGTGGTAGAGTGCCTAGGTGGTGCAGTTAATGCGCTCAGCTGGTGATGAAAATGTTGGAAGCTCAAGTCTATCCATAGACTAGGGAAGGCCTGGCAATCTACTTCTGAAAAATCTGCCATCAAAAACCCTATGAAGTACAGTTCTACTCTGACACAGTCGCCATGAGTCAGAATTAACTCAACGTTTGATAATAACAAGTGGTGGTAGTAACAACCACTTATTGAGCACTTACTATGTACCAAAGGAGCTATGCCTAAGGCACTTGACTGATAACCAGAAGGCTGGTAGTTCAAGCTCACCAGCCACTCTGGGGAAGGGCAATCTACTTCTTTAAAGATCATGCCGCTGCAGAAACGCAATAGGGGTTGCTATGAGTCAGAATCAACTCGAGGGCAGTGGGTTTGCTTTTTTGGTACTATGTACCCAGGAGTCCCTGAGAGGCTGCTGTTGGTATTGGTTGCCAGTGGAGTCGATTCCGACTCCTGGTGATCACATGTGTGCAGGTAGAGCTGCTCCACAGGGTTTCAAGGCTGTGACCTTTTGTACGCAGATCGCCAGGCGTCTCTGGTGGGTTCAAACTGCCAACTTTTCAGCTAGCAGTCATGTGCTTAACACGTCCAGCTGCTAAGCTAAAGACCAGCAGTTTGAATCCATCTAGAGATGCTTTGGATGAAGAGCCTGGTGATCTACTTTCAAAAAATCAGCCATTGAAAACCCTACAGAGCACAGTTCTATGTGGAAAAGGCCACAGGCAAAAATAAGTAGAGACCTTAAGCAAAAGGGGAGTTCAGGGGTTTGTGATTTATAAGTGCTGCCCTTTTACTTAGTTCTTAGGATTTGGTTGGTTTTATGTAATTCAAAATTTAACACTTGGAGAGTCTAAAATAAACGTGTCAATTTAAAATAGCATTGAAGTCCACAGAATGCTTGATTGTCCCATTGGAGACCAAATTTAAATTGTGCTCACAGGTAAAATAATCTGAGCAGATGGTTTGTAAAGCATTATAATAAATGCAGTATATGAGTATTATTTCCAGATGACTGCTACAGTAGAAATCTGCATTGAATTAAGGACTATCTGTCTTGACGGAAATGAATACTGTGAAAACTACAGTAGACATATCATATCACTATATTTCACCTGCTTCAAAACTATTGGCTACAGAAATGAAATTACTTCTACCCATGGAACATTGGGGAGATCTGGTGGAGCCGTGGTTAAAGCATTGCGCTGCTAACCAAAACCTACCAGCCACTCGACAGGAGAAAGAGGAGGCAGTCTGCTTCTGTAAAGATTACAGCCTTAGAAACCCTATGGGGCAGTTCTACTCTGTCCTATAGGGTTGCTATGAGTAGTAATCAACTCAATGGCAGTGGGTTTGGGTTTTTGTTTTGTTTTGTTTTGTTTTTTAATGTAACTCTGGGAGCTCTGGTGGTGTAGTCCCTCAGGCATTTGACTGTTATCCAGAAGGCTGGAAGTTCAAACCCACCAGCCACTCCTCGGAAGGAAGATTGGGCAATCTACTTCCGTAGAGATACCACCTAGGAAACCCAAGGAGGGGTCGCCATGAGTCAGAATTGACTCTACAGCAGTGAGTTTGGTTTTTTTGTTTTAATGTAAGCCTTGGATTGGTAATTATCTGAGGGAAAAATTTAGTATTTTACTTATATCGTCTCTCTTTCATATCAATATGTTCATTTGCATATTTAGGCCATGACAATGAAAATATTTACTAGGTCTCCCTCTTGAATATGGAGCCTGGAAAGTGCATACGCAATTCACTTACTTGTAAAGTACAAGTCCAACAACTATGGTGGAGGACAATGGTTTTAATGTTGATAAATTCAAGAAATGATGCAAATGTTAAGGTTTATTTTTAGTTTCAAGGGCATTCAATAGAGTATGTTTTGTACACTGGACCATGGTCACTTCCATATAATATTTAAATAATCTAAAGTTGTTTTATGCTGTATCTCAGAACATAGTTTAGCCTAAGTTACACATACCCTAGATTGTTTTGTCGGCTCTGAAATCTGGCACTACACTATGGCTTAACTAATGATGTGCTATCTTGCTGTCAAATATGGTAGTTTTCTTCAATTCATTTCTCAGCAACAAGGGAGAGTTTTACTGAATTTATGAGAAGGCCATTTGAAGCTGTATCTTCTTGGCAAATTTAAAATGTTTAATCTTACTTAAGAGTTGACATTAAATATTGATTGTGGGGTAAAATGCTACATACAATAGGAGAATTCAGGCACCCCAGTTCTTACTAGCTCACCCCCATGGTTAGGTCCCACAAATTCTGGTTTCATTAATGAAACAGAGTTGCAAAATTAAGATGATTAGTATCAAATTGGTTTTATAAATTAGAACCAGCCTGATTCTTATGCCTAAACACAACACAGAGACACACTATTGTACAGAAGTAAATTTATACACATGCCTACACAAAAAAAAAATTACACTCCATCTAGGGTTTTAACAGAATTTGGTTTGCTCCCCTCACTAGAGATGCTGAATTTAAAATATTGCTCTATGCCTTTTCAAAACAGATAAAAAGAAGGAAAACAATTGTGTGAAACAAAAGTCCTTTTAATAACACATTGAACTAAAATAGGACACCCTTCTCAACACTAAACAGAGTTAAGAGAATAAAAGATATTTACACAATGAGCCCGATTTTAGTGAGGAGATAAGCAATGCACTATATTTTAAACTTACCACGAGAGCAAAGAACACCATAAAGAAAAATGATAAACTACTTGTGTAGCCAAGAAAGCCTGTAAAATAACAGTAAAATAAAAAGCAATTTATAAGGAAAGTGATCCTAACGTAGAGCTAAAGCTATACATCTTGGTCATGTTTTCTATTACTGTGCTTCGTATCTGGGGCTTAGGGCTCAGAATACCAACATTCCAACTATCTGTCACAGATCATTTATGTAGCTCTGTAGAGCAGAATTGGAACTGGCTTACCACTAATGGTACACTGTAAGGAAAGGCTGCTCTTTAATGTTGCCCTGTAAAGATTTTATTTTAGCGGGGCAGACAAAACACTACTGCAAACCAAGTAAAAGGTTAACTGGGCAGGACTGAAGGCTGAACAACGTAAAACAAGGCCAAGTTTGAAATTATTCACAACCACCGCCCTTCTGCTAAAAATGTGGTACTATGAAATTTTTAAATTCCTTAATATTTTCTTTCTTTTAAACAAATCATGTCTTCTTTTAAAAGACTTACCTATTTTGGGAAGAAGTGCAAGAGGGAACACAATGGCAACACAAATAATTATTAGTAATGTTTGTCCATCAAGATACCAAGACCTGTTAGGGAAAAAGAAAAGCTCTGTTTTCGGAACATGACACCAGAGTTTATGTGTATGTATATATGTGTGTATGTGTGCATACTACACATGTGTACACACACCTATACAATCACCCATTAGGAAAAGCCTATTCCATTTTGTTAAAATATGTTCTTGTGAGATCCTATTACTCTTATTAATAAATTTACATTTAAAAAACAATGAGATGCCATTTTTCATTTACCAAATATCCAAATACTTAAAAATAAAATAGGCAATATTGGTGAGAAGTGATGAGGTATATACAAATTGTGGGCATATAAACTGTGTAAATTACTTTTCTGGAAAGCAATTTGACAAAAGCCTCATATATTTATACCCTTTAACACTTACAAAAAGATTAATAGAAATAAGCAAACAATTAGTGATAAGAATAAAGATTTTTATAAAAAATATGTTTATTGAAAATATTTAAGTTGATGAAAATTGGAAACAGTTTAAATGTTTAAGACCATGATAATTTTAAAATAAATTAAGAATCACTAAAAAAAAATTTTATAGGTACAATAATATAAAGAATATTCAGTAAACTTCATAGATAAATACCATGATCCTAACTGAAGAGAAAAAAAAATATTCATTAAAAATTGAAAGGACCACAACATACTGATAGTCATTATCTCTGCGTGGTTCAAAGATGAGTAGTTTTTTCTTCTTTATAGTTTCCTATATTTTTCCAAATTTTCAGGAATGAGCATGAATTAACAAGAAAAAAAAAGATTTGTTTTTTCATACAAAGGCATTTGAATATTGAATGAAAAAGGTAGGTCAAAAGTGTGATTAAAAAAAAAAAACAACTCACTGCCATTGAGTAGATTGAACTCATAGAGACCCCCCTTGGGTTTCCAAGGTGGCGTCTCTGTAGAAGTATATTGCCCAATAATTTTATAAAACTGGATACACATAGAAAAAATTCTGAAAGATACACTCAAAATATTAAAAGTGGATATTTGTATATGATAGCAATAAGAGCATTTTAGTTTTCTCCTTGTTTCTAGACACACACACAAATAGATGGTTTTCAATTTTTCCACATGTTGTATATAAGTGTATAGATTTTTAAAAGTTAATTCCCCAGACTCTAAGAGACTAGTATGTACAGGACAAACAATTCATGAAAGAATAAATACACATTGAAAAAGTCTATCTCTAGGACTAACTAAACAAACAAACAAAAAGAGGCTATTTTTGTCCATTAAACTAGTAAAAATTACTTAAAAAATAAAACTCAAGGATGTTACATAATTCGTTCCTCATACATTGCTAGTGATCTCATCAATTAATACTATCTTCTGGGAAAACATTTTCATAATACATAGCAAGAGCAAGAAAAATGTGTGGTAGTCTACTCGAATAACCTAAAATATAAAAAATGCTATGTACATGAAGCTGCTGAATATGACATTCTTGTAATATTAAGAAGCTGATGAAAACTATATATTCAACAATAGAAAACATTTAGGCCAGTAACAGGATACTCAATAGAATGTTATAACACACTGCTGTCAAGTTGGACTCGACTCCTAGCGACCCCTCCTTGGATTTCTGAGGCGTTATCACTACGGAAGTAGATTGCCCAACCTTCCTTCCAAGGAGTGGCTGGTGGGTTTGAACCACCAGCCTTCTGGTTAGCAGTCACGTGCCTTAGGCACAATGCCACCAGAACTCCTATGGAACGTTATACGCTTAAAAAAAGAAAAAAAAAGCATAATCTAGTAAAATGGAAAATGTTAATGATATAAATACAAAATATATTATTAATTATATTAAAAAAAGAAGTCTGGGGAAAAACTCAAGGGAAATAACAAAGCAATAACAGTGGTTAGGGTAGAACAATATTATGTGTAATTTTTGTTTTCTAAGTTTTCTGTAATGTAGTTGTAATCTTGTTATACTGAAACACACATACACCAGGTACATAGACACACACAATAGTAACAAAGTGAAATTCATGCTAAAATTGAAAGTGGGAGCATTTACCATCAATAGATCAGGATTATTATTTTTTTTAAGTTAGTGAGAGAACATTAAATTTCACTCTTTTGAGTGACTTAGAACCAGCACAATTTTTAAATAAAAGTAAATCAGTTACAACCTTTTAGAATTTAATATTGGTAAGCAATTACTTGTACATTCCTTATACAGTGCTGAAATAGACTGTGTTAAGAGATTTGAGCTGTGCTCTCTGTCCATAAAAGAAACAGCTACATAAGCAAATGGAAATAGAATTTGCTAGAAATGTTGAAGCATTGTCTTAAACACTGGGAACCTATTCTCTTAATTATAATGGACAATTGCTACATAGGTAAATGAAGAACTAGAGGCTGAGAAAGAGTGGGAGCCATGGAACTATATCCTAATATATAATTCTTAGGTCCTTGGTGTCACCTCACAAATGGGTCACAAGGACAGCAGGGACTATTTTTTCAAATCATTTGGCAAATGTTCTCAAAATTTCAGTTTGCGGTACTGCACCCTCCTTCACTTTCTACCGGGCAGCCAGAGTCTCCCAGTGCCACGTTAAATTAAGAAAAGGTTTTCTTCTACATGGGTTTCAACTCCTGGCTTCTAACATGGCCCTTATGATTCACTGTACGTCTTTTGTTGTTGTTGTTATGTGCCGTGGAGTCTAACCCGACTCATAGCAACCCCTTCTTGGGTTTCCGAGGTGGTATCTCTACAGAAGTAGATTGCCCAACCTTCCTTCCGAGGAGTGGCTGGTGGGTTTGAACTACCAGCTTTCTGGTTAGCAGTCAAGTGCCTTAGGCACTACGCCACCAGAGCTCCCATCCTGGTTTATGAGGAAGTTCTCTCCAATGTATCTTTAATCGTTACTATGGGTGTTGGCAACTTCCTCCTTCTCTTTAACTGACTGAGAGAAGGAGCAGCAGCAGAAATAACCATGATCATATATTTCCCTTCTCCGCCCTAATTCATGCCCTTAGGAGATATATGTGCCAGAAACTAGGCATAAGTATTTAAATAAATATTACGTATGCGTAAGTATTTATTTCTAGCTCCAATGACCTAAAGCTGTGCATTATGAATTTGCACATGCCCCTCAACTTCTAGTACGTAGGAGGCCTTACGAGAGTACACACATTAAAAATATAAAATGATACTCAACATATTAATCTTCTAGTCACTCTCAAATAAGAATCAAAATGGGAACTTCCAAATATCCCTCATTGAGGAATGCCTGGCAACTAAATGTCTGAAGCTGGCGAAAAGCCCAGGGCCCTGTGCCCGAAATCTCCTTCCTTCTGGGACCCAATATAAGACCCAGACAGTTGCAGTGCCAGGAAAAAAAAAAAGGCCCAAAGGAGCATCGAAGCAGATGCCATCTGTTAGTTCTGCTGTTCCTGCTGTCAGGAAGGTTGACTTGAGCAAAAAAGAGCATGTTGACTCCCAGGCCCAAAGACTCTTGTACCTTATGTAAGAATAAAGCAACACTTTTTGAAATCCTGAATAGTTACTTTATACTATTTCAGATAACAGTTCATTCATGTTTGTTGAAGCCATGACTGCCCAAAGCACTAACTGGGTCTGAAGACAACTCGACCTCCTTCCAGCAGTATCTCAAAATCACATAGCCATGGAACATTAGAGCTGGAGGGGATCTTAGAGCTTAGAGCTTATCTGGTTCAACAGCTTCATTTTACATGTTTGTAAACTCAGCAGAAGGATGCTGATGATCTGAGTGATAGTAACAGTGGAAATACAGGACTCTCTGCTCTGGAATCACCACTCGCTCTCACTTTATGGTACTTTTCACCAACTGCCTCCTCATTTCAAGACTGTACTTTACACTCTTCACAGGACTGAACTTAAAATTCCTAAAGTAAAAGAACTTTGTTGTAAGATATAATTTCTCTATCCCTGGCTTGCTTACTAGTTATCAATAATTTCTTGTTCTTTTAAATTCATGTTAATAAGGCAATGATAATACCTTTTCTTTACCATTCACAACAATAAAGGCAATACCACAACACACAGCAAGTTAGTTCAGACTTCATGTGCATGCCACACCCAACTCAAGCGTATTTGGCAATGGATAATTTCCAAAGAACAGAAATGATTAAACTGACAAAATAAAACTCCAGCCTGAAAAACACAAATCAGCAAAAATAAATCTCAAAAAGTGTGTATTAAGTAAATTTTTTATAAATGAAGAGTTTAGAAGGATGTGCTAACTGTACATTTTTTTCCTTAGGGGGAGGCGGGGAATTAATTATCTAGCCGAACTCCTGTTTTTCCTACTGTGATCTAAATATACATTCTCTTTAAGCCAAAAGAATTAGAGTAAAAAGCTTTATACTTCCTAGAAAACTTGTTTGATCTGTGGATTTAATCCTATATGATAAAAATGTTCCAGCTATGAAATATAGAGTATAAATCCTTAGCTGTACTGAAAAGGCTTTGGCATGCAGATGTTTTTTTCCATATTTTAATAAAAACCAGGTTTATTTGTAAGTTGCTTTAATTTCATTCTCAAATGGAATGGGACAAAAGTATCATATGTTCTGAATTAGACTCTTACTCACATCCCCTATCAATTATGTAACTCAAATACAAGACAACTTAATTGTGTCAATCATATTCCCCTGACAAGATCATTAAATGTTAACAGAGAGCTTCCAACTTTTAACAGCCATAGATTTTAAAGCTATTCTATGAAAAATATAAATGCATCATAAAAATTCACTGTAAGTATTACAGCCTCTGGCTTCTAATAGTAATTTTGAAATTACAACATTATGAACACAAAGTTTCTTCTTGATAACATCTTTATGAAGAGTTATATTTCACAAAGGTACATCAAATGTCTCAGATAACCCAGAAAATAAGCACACCTGAAAGATCTTAACTGTAATTTATTATAAATCAAACCTTAAAATGAAAGCATATCAATATCATTTTGACCTCATAGAAGAAATACTACTATGTAATTCTATCTAGAAATAAACTGGCCTATTTAGATAGTTAAGTCAATTGCCATATTTATTTCTTCAATTATTTTACAGTATTAAGCTTTAAAAACTGGTAATTTGTCTGCATTTTCACTGATTAATTTAATTAATCATTTATTAATATTTTTCAAAACTTTGAAATCCAAAATAAGGATATATACATCACATTTAAAACAAGATGAGGTTGTTAAAAAGATGTGCAATTTTAAAACAATGTAACAGATAATGCAAACTGGCCTTGGTATTTTGTAGTATATAGTTTAAAACATTCATTTCTGACATACAAAAATAGTGTTTTAGTCCAATCTCTACTAGTATGAGTAGAAAGGAGTTTGTTTTGTTTTTAAGAAAAACCAGAAAAAAGAAAAAAAAAGAGCAACAACAAAGCCCAAAATATCCAATGAAGTAAACAGAGACTGGTTTTGAATGAAGCTATGGTAGAAGTATCATCTTAAAAGGAGAAGATCTAGGTTTCAACATCAGTTCTGTCAAAAAGGTACAACAATAATTTCTAAAATTTCACAGTGATAGTAGACATCCTCTTTCCACAAGGACACATGACTTAAAAATGTAAATTGAAACCACCAAATTCAGGACAGAGAGAAAGAAAAATACATGTGACAACTATTATGATGACATAGCTCAAGTGATATATTTTAATTTGGTTCTAAGCTTCCTGGCAGCCAGAGCAAAAAGAGAAACTTTCAGTATAGCATTATTACTGGAATTTCTTAATTTTCTGCATTCACACTCTGCTATCATAGTACAAAAGCATGTGTGTATACATCTTATTTGATCATCTCAACTTTGTCAAGAAAACTATATTGGAACCTTCATCATTCTAGGTGAAGAAGTCTAAAGCTGAAAGTTCTATGGCTGACAGAAGTTAAGTGGATTTTCTGAGATTGGTATACATGAAATGGTTAGAACACAAACCGTAACTCTTTGTCTCACTCACTTCCATCGAGTCAGACCGACTCATAGCGACCCCTCCTTGGGTTTCCAAGGCGGTATCTCTACAGCAGTAGATTGCCCAACCTTCCTTCCGAGGGGGAATTGGTGGGTTTGAACCACTAGCCTTCTGGTTAGCAGTCAAGTGCCTCAGGCACTACACTACCAGAGCTTCCTAACTCTTAGTCTTGTTGTTGTTGTTGTTATGTGCCTTCGAGTCAGCCCCGACTCATAGCGACCCCTCCTTGGGTTTCCAAGGCAGTATCATTACGGAAGTAGGATTGCCCAACCAACAACTCTTAGTCTAGCACTCTTTTATTCTACCTCATATTGCCTGCAGTTCCTCAAATAAATCTTTCCTTAGCCCTACATAATGAAAGAAGTTTCACGTGGAATTTTTTTTACAGCAAACACAAAAGTGATTGTCACAAAGCTATTTCCTATGTTGTGTTAGGTGCCATGGAGCCGGCTCCAGCTCACAGTGACCCTCCGTACAACAGAATGAAGCACGCCTAGTTATGTGTAATCCTCACAGTCTTTGCGCTACCTGAGCCCACTGTTGCAGCATGGCTATCATTTATTAAACTAAGAGCATAAAATTAAAATGCAACTAGATAAACCTAAAGATAAAACAAGGGAGCTGTGACTATCAAATGAGATACTGTGGAAACTTTGCAGACTGTAAAGTACTATGCAAAGGAATCATTTCTTCTGATGAAAAATCATTAAGGACTTTTGTTTACTGCTTTCAACCAGTTTCTTGATTGTATCTATTCAGATCTAAAGTACACCATACTTTCCTCACAAATATGTATCTATTGTTTCCTAAGTAGAAATCTTCAATGGAAGCCAAGTTGTAAGAGCCAAAAACTAAATTTTGAAAACTTGGCCTACATTCCAGAACAAGTTCAATTATTGGAATGAAACAACTAAATATTTAAATCTAAAAGCAGTTTTCTCTTGTGGTTTAAAAACCATGTGAAATGATAACTTGATGAAATTAAAAGGATTTACTCTGTCTTCTCAAGTTCACTTTTCTCAAAATTTCTTGTTCTACATAGTGAAAGAAAATGCCTAATTAATTTTTGTGTGGGGGGGTTCCCCCTAAAAAGTGATGAATCATTAGTTTCTGGGGCCCAGGACTTTTAAAATAAGGAAGGAGAAAGGAAATACAATGTGTTTAGTATTATTTATAATATTATTCTTCAAACAGGAAATTAAGCAATTAAGTCCCTGCAAATAGTTTATTTTTGATCATTCTTTATGATAGGAATCTCACACTAGTATAGTTTTAACTGCCACATTCTTTATAACAATGATTTACTGAGAAATGAGAACTGTATCATTCATTCCCTTCCTTTGTTTAAGACCTTTATTGTCAGTACGTTCATTCTTCCCTATTTTCAATCTTCCATATCCCCAGAAATTTCTCCTTTACTCTTCTCCAAAACCTATCTCACAACTCTCTTACCCTAATTTTGGCACCTCTACCACCTGCCAGCAAAGTATAAGGGCTACATCTGGTGTCTGATCATTCACAGCACAGTGCTTTGTATGATGGGTAATCACTAAATGTCCGCTGAATGATTTCCTTCTCTCTTACTATTTTCCCTCCTAATTTCTGAGTGTCTTAAGGGTAGGGACTACATTTGTTTTACTTGTCACTGGAGCTCAATACTTATTGTATTAATAAATGAATGGACACATTGTGAAATATCTTTTCTTACCCACTGTAGTCTCCTGGTAAAAATTCTGAAATAGCAGCAGGAAGCTCTGTTTTAATAATTAGAAGATAAGATGACATAGCTGCAAAAACAATAAAAAGAAGTCCTATTAGAACTCTATATGTTACCATGTAAAGAATAATCTATCCAGGAACATGGATGGACATTAAACTATGACAGCATGTGGAAAATTAACTCACACTTTGTAGAGAAGAAGAACTGTTAAGTTCATGAACAATTTTGCTTATATTTGCTAAATAGTCCAAAGCAAACTATTTAGGAAACAGAAAGAGTTTGGATTTTAGGTCATTTATAAATGAAATTTGTTTTGAAGTTTCTCAAAAACTCTGTTATCATCTCTGTCCAAGACACTAGAGGTTGGTTTAGCAATAACTGACACAGAAATAGTAAGTATAGCTAATAACTTTGATTATTTGTTCTTTCTTACTGGAGACTGACCTCCTGGAGAAGTCTTGCTCCCTTTCTCTTCCTCTCTTTGCTACCCCCACACATTATGAACACTATTGTAAAATTAAAAACAGAATAAACAATGAATTACATTTAAAATTATTTTCTAAAACACATTAGAGAAGATTCAGTAGAAATCATTAAGCATATTAAAGAGTTAAAACTTTCAGCTTTGATTCCATTTTATTAACAGAGCTCATCTGTTCTATGCAATCAGAATCTGAATTGAGCCTTATTTCCTACATTATATAGACAGAATCCAAAAAGTAACTAGCCTTTATAACATTTTAATAATGATCCTATTTCCAATGCAGCTATGAAAAAACCCAAATTCTATAAACCTGTCATATACTAGGAAATGTTTTAATATGGTTACAAAGCCCATTTATATGAAAATACTTGAGTTTAAGCTTAAAGGCATAAGATGTAAAAAGTCAAGATGATTTGGAGTCAGAACTTCAGTTTAACAGAAGTGGGGGTGTACCCCACCCCCACCCCACAGATTAAGTGTTGAAATAGAAAAGCCCACATGAAAATGTTCATGAAGAATAAACAGTGTTCTCTGAGTGTACATTAATTTTATTACTTATTTATATTTCAGGAAACTTTATACTTTCTCCTTGGACTTACAAAATTAAGAACACAAATGAATGCCAAATCTGAATGGCAAAAATCTGGGGGGAAATTGATTAAAAGCCTCAAACAGTTTAAGAAGAGGAGTATGTATTTCTCAACTAACATATCTGAAAGTAGCCAAATTTCTCCATGATTATTACAATGCAATTGTGACTACTTAACACTGGCAAAAAAGAGGATATTTACCACAGTCCCTACTACCCCTTTCAATTCGATACCAAACCCACTGCCATCGAGTCTGTTCCAACTCTTAGCAACCCTACAGGACAGAGTAGAACTGCCCCAAAGGGTTTCCAAGGCTGTAATCTTTACAGAAACAGACTGCCTCATTTTTCTCCCATGGAGTGGCTGGTGGGTACAAACTACCAACCTTCTGGTTAGCAGCCCAATGCTAGCCACAATGCTAGCCTAATGGTAAGCACAGTACCACCAGAGTTCCTTATGCCTCCCAAACAGGATTCTTAAAATGGATGCTTGTGTTTTAGGAAAAGTTATAGCTTAAACTAAAGAAAAACAAGTTACTGGTTTCTGATCTTAGGCATTCAGTTAAATACATTTCCAAAGTTTAAGGTGCTTCAAGATACTTAATTATATGTATTTAAAAACACAATTTCACAAATAGCAAATCAATGTCTACACAGAGCAGTTAAATAGATAATCATATCTCTGTAGTGAAAAAAATTTTTTTTAGGTTATGACTATTGTTTTTTGCTCTCCAGTAAGAGTACAACTATTGATGAAAACTACTGAGACAGTTCTACTTTATTTTAGTTATGGGACATTACATTGATTATATGTGAAAAGGTGTTCCCTATTGTTCATATTCTCATAAGGAAAATGTTATCCATTTTGCACAGAATAGAAGGAATGTTTAGCTTAACCTCCTCCACTCAAGGATTTGAAGTCTTTGTTTGCAACACTATCTATTCCAAAAAACTACACACATATGGTGTGATGATGAGAATCATGAACTAAACATTCTGAAATGGGTCTCGAGCTACTTAAATATATCTTGCAGGGGAAGAAAAAAAAAACAGACTAAATACCTTGAATACAGGGAATGCAGACTTACTACACAATGAAATTTATTATCTGGCCACCAGTCTCTTGCTTGGATTAATCCAACACCACATGTATTCTAAAGTTTCAGACACTTATCTCTTTTAGTAATTTTCTATTATTTCTTTTGGATCTTTAGTTGTAAAAAGCTTCAATGAATATGAGATCGTATTTCGTTCAAATATACAATCTGTCATTCTTCCCAGAATTTCTGTTAGCCCCTGGCTAATCATTTGATCACTTTTATTCTCTGTTGTAGCCTTAGCTCTTTAGTTTTCAAATTGGAGTCCTATTTCATTAGATTTCAAACTTTGGAATCAAGTATGTTGCAAGAAATATGCTCTCACAAAACATATGTTTCTGTCTCTCTTTCAAAAAAAAAAAAAAACTATCTCAGCATATAGGGTACAAATACAATAAAACATGTAAACTATTGCTCCCTTTTTAGAGAATGCTAATTTATATTTTAAGAGCTACAAAAATACAGAGCTCATTTTAAGGGAGAAACCATTAAACAGATAAAGGAAGAAACTAAATTATTTTTCTTACCTAAAAGTGAACTTTATGGAATGGCTGTTGCCTTAGCATATTATATAAACAGAAAGGAAACAAAAAAGAGATCACTAAATATACACTGCTAGGAAACATCTTAATTAGATTCACATAAAGGGAAAAATTGGCTCAATCAAATAACCTGGAAAAGTTTTAAAGATATCAGTAGGAAGGGTCATATTGCCATTGTTTTTAACCAAAATGTCCACCAGATCAAATAGCTACCTATCACACCTTTTGTCTCATGTCTTCTATTAACAGCATAAGGAAATGTTTAAAGACTAATTTTAGAGAGAGGTCATAAGCAAGAATTTGTAAATGATTTTTGCTGACGCTGAAACACAGCATAGACTCCTAATACAAGACATAGCATGTTGTAATCTGAATTAATAGCTGTAACAGCGTCATCAGTAAGAGCCATGGTTATAGTTACGTGGTTCTGGCTTCCATCTCCTACAGCCAATATGAGTGCTAGAGTGCTAACATTCTGTGTTCTAGAAATTCTTTAGTCTCTTGTAACCCAGTAGTTTAACGCAGCATTCAGAAGCAGTTTGTTGTATAAAGGATAAGGATTCAACCATTATGAACCATTTAGTTTCACCATAGTCACTAAACTGGTATTCTTTTCTCCTTCATTTTAAACATAACTAATAGAACTCATTTAATAGAAATGGTCATGGGAAGGGTATGAAAAAATCTGTCAATTTGTGTCAAAACACAAAATTTGAAAGTATTCTTTTAGAAACCATGTGGAGAAGCAACTGTCATAAAAGAAAATCATTAAAATTAGGTAAAATGTGAATAGACAATAGCAGGTAGTAAGGTATTAATATAGGAAGATATTGGTGGTGCAGTGCCTAAGGCACTTGACTGCTAACCAGAAGGCTGGCAGTTCAAACTCACCAGCCACTCCTCAGAAGGAAGACTGGGTAACCTACTTCCATAGAGATACAGCCTCAGAAACCCAAGGAGGGGTCGCTATGAGTCAGAAACAACTCGACGGCAGTGAGTTTGGTTTTTTTTTTTTGGGGGGGGGGTTAAGGTATTAATATTGGTTGCTTCTAATCATAAAGAGAAAAACATGAATGAGTTAGCAGCATGAGCGCTGAGGAGAGAGATGTTAAAAACAGAGGAAAAGGGAAAAAGCTGTGTGGAAACAGAACCCTAAGAGCAGCTAACACTTTTGGTTTGGGGATGCTACTGCATGTTTCGCAGTATTCTAAGTGATTGACAAGTGTTTCCTTATTTGATTTCTACAACAAACCTGGGTGACCGAAATCATTATTATTTATTTTAGAGATAGAGAAATGGAAGCAGAAAGAAGTAACTTGCCCAAAACTACACAGCTAGTTTCCGGCTTGAAAAGCTTACACCATTAATTATTATATTATGGGAAAATACAGGAGCAAAGAGAAGAAGAAATCTACCAATCTACCAATCTACCAAGGGAAAGAAAAATGAGAAAAGTTGATTCAAAGGACCACTCCCAGAATGTCTATTTCTTTTTTTCATCAGCCTTTATACAACAAACTGCTTCTGAATGCTGCGTTAAACTACTGGGTTACAAGAGACTAAAGAATTTCTAGAACACAGAATGTTAGAGGCTTTAAAAGCACTAATAATTTTCATTTCAAATGGCTGTATTTTCATTTGTGTTTCATTTGCATTTTGTGGCAGGTTGGTAAAGTGATTAGTCCACGATTCCTCAGAGGAGCTGAGGACTTTCAGGATAGAACTGTACTGGGTTGACCACCATGATTCATTCTACTGTTTACAGCTATGACTGTTGTTCTGAAGAGAATGTTTCCTGTTGGTATATCTCTGAGATATTAACACTATGCTGAAATCTAAATAATAATAATTAAAAAAACCTCTCATCCCACAAATCATGTACTCTTATGAACTATTTTTCCCCCAGTACTCTGAAAATGCTTCCCAATTTGTCATTAAACAAGCATACAACCTTAAAAAAAAAAAAGGACAAAAGTCTTAATTAGAAATTGGGTCTAAGTTATCATAAGTTTGCAAAGATAATTATTCTTTTTGTCAAATGGTTACAATACATGTATGAAGATAGGATTACTTACAGCTATTTTAAAAACAGAACTAGGTTTTGAGCACTTAGGGGAAGTTCAGCGACTTCTTAAAGGATTAGTCAGCAGCCAGCCCTAAACAAACAGATGCACTGTGAGAGGAAATACGAGTTTACCTTCCAGTTCTAAGAGCGCTTCAATTTTACTTACACATGTTTTCAGTCGTGGATAGCAGCAAGTAGTTTATTCTATTCAATGTGTCTTATTAACCTGCTATTCCAACTAAATGCCCAAATGCCACTAATTCTATCCCTACTCTAAATACTACAGAAAT